CCACTCCAGGTTTTTCCACATCCTACAGAAATGGAAGCTCCAGGCTCCGGGTGGTTATTTTAAAAGGCGCCGATCAATCAGAGCCGGGCTCAGCTCCCCTCCTCACCAACACACGGCTGCTGCCTCCCCAAACCCCTCCCGAGGGGAGCAGCACCCCCAAACCAACACGTGGCCACCCCAAATCACTCTTGGGAGAGCTTGGCTTCGGGCCAATTAAAAAAAAAATAAAATCTAAAGCCAGAAGTGGAGAAACCCTGAGCTGGGGAATGAATTCCCAGCGGAGGAGACCCTCGTGCCCAGCAGGACGCTGGTCCTTGTCCCAGCAGTTCTGGAGAAGCCTGGATTGCAGCATGGAAAAGCCACTTATTGGAATTTTCCTCCCTTTCATCATTTCTCCCTGGTCAGACTCTTGGCACACCCAGCCGAGGGAGATGGTGCAGGAACAGAATCACCTTGGGAACGATGCTGGAGAGACTCTGCCCTGTGCAGCAACAGGTCAGGATGCTCAGGGGCAGGATCCAGAATCTGGGATCACCATCAGGGGGAGAATCCCCTCATTCTGGGGAGACAGACACCCATCTTTCACCCCCCCAAGGAGGTGATGCTCACTCCTGGCTGCAGCAGGGACATCAGCTCCCACTCCATGGGCATCCTCCAGCCCACCCCATCTCCCTGGGAGAGGCACTTCCAGCAGAGATTCCCCCTCCTCGGCTCCATCCCCCCCATCTCCCTGCACCCTCCCCCCAGGCCAGGCCCCTCGGAGCTCTGCAGGATCTGGGTTAAGCCGAGCCCCCCTCCCCAGGGACACGTGCTCCCGACACGGAGCCTCTCCCAGGCGTCAGGGCTCCTGTTGACAAGCCCGAACGCGGCGCTGCCAATAATAGCAGTGTCTTGGTCACATCTCCCACCCTGGAGCCGCTCAGGGCACGGGGCCCCGCTCTGGAGCAGGGTGGGGGAGAGCCAGGACAGCCCCCATCCCTTTGGAGACCCCAGGGGGTGCTGCAGGGAGGGGGCTGATCTGGAGAAATCTGAATTATTTTTACACTAAACATTCACAATTTGGGGGGGGAGGGAGGGGGGATGTGAAAAGGCAAAGAATGTGTTTTCTTCATTTTTTGCTGCATTTTTTTTTTCTCCTCCTCCTTTTTTTTTTTTTTCCAGTGGTGAAGTGGAAAATGGGGAGAAGAAAAGCCCAAGCAGTTTCCCCCCCCATATTTCCATTGTTGAGTTTCCCTGGAGGGACCCGGGGAACTGTCTGCACCCCGGAGATAATTCATGGGCGGCGCTTTCATCTCCAGAGCCCTCGCAGCTCCCACCTAATGAATCCCAGCACTGGGATCCTTCAGAATAAAAAGGGAGAGAGCTGGAATTGGAGCAGCACCACGGGGTGGTCGCTGTTCCTGACTCCAGCAGTGCCAGGGACGTGGGACCCCTCAAGCCCAGGGCACCCTTTGGATGTGACGCTTCAGGAATATAGGCAGGAAAACGAGTTTCTGCTCAGCCTGGGGGAGCCTGGTGCCAGTCCAGCTGCCTGGCATGGGGGCAGGGAGTGGGACACATGGAAGCCAGCCCTGGTGCAGGGTGGTGGGAGGTGGCTGAGGGCTCTGGTCCAGCCTGGAGCAGCACAAACAGCCGCCCCGAGCGATCGCACGCGGAGCACAAACCAGTGCCTCGAGCCAAGAGCCAGGGAAGGGCTATAAATAACGCTGTTATCATCCCTGCCTCGCTCCCTCGGCGAGCTGGGCCACAGCATTTCCTCCCCAGCAGCGTTTAAGGGTGATTTCTGGCCTGGAGGAGGCCAGGAGCTTGTCAGCATCCCCACTGCAGTGGCCCTTTTCCAGCCTGCCATTGATCTGGCACTTGGCTGATAAACCCACCGGTTGCCTGCCCGAGGCAAACACAGCCACTGTCCCAGACAGAGACCTGTGTTATCCATGTGGCCTCTTCCCAGCTTGCCTGGGGCCCAGGAAGGCTAAAAGCCTCCATCCTCCTCCTCCTCCTGCTGCTGTGATTCCTGTTCCACAGCCCTGACCCGGCCAGCACTGCTCTGCTCCTGACTCAGACCTCCCAACCCTGGGCTGCCCTGGCTGAGAAGCTGCAAAGGGACAGGAGAGGATGGCTCTGTCCCCACGTGGTGGCCAAGGGACACCAGGTTGCTCCTGGTGGGAGAAGAAATTTGGGTGGGGAGCAGGGAGTGGGAGCTCCTTACTCCCTGGGGGATGAGAACCTGTGGGAGGAAGAGGACAGAAGAGGATGAAGGCAGCCCATAAACAGCCACAGAGTCCCACAAGGATGTCACATGCTGTCCCAGCTCCTAAATCAGCCCGAGGGAAGGAGTGTGCTCATGTCACGCTCCCCAGGAGACAGAGCCAGGGGAGGGAGAAGGATCCTGCTCTCCAGGCTCGGAGGCTTCCCTGTCTGTGCTCTGGTGCTGGTTCAGGATGCAGGGCTGGGGCTGGGAGGAGAGTGGGGCGGGGGAGGGCAGGATGGAGGAGGAGGGGGGCCCATATGGAGAAGCTTCTCCCAGAGAGCGGCAAGATGCTGAGCTGGCGTGAGCTCGGGAGCTCTCCGAGACGACACTGCGAGAGCCAAGCAATCAATATGTGAAAATCCAGCCCAGGCGAGCAAGGTGACCTTGAGAGGCAGAGAGGGGAGGGGGGAGGGAGCAGAGCTGCAGGAATTACACACGGAGATGCTCCCCGGGCGAGGGGGGAGGGATGGGGGGAACGAGAGGGCAGAGCCTCTCTGACACCCACTGCCAGCCCCAGCCCCGGGGAAGGCTCCAGGACAGGATCCAGCCAGGCAGCCTGGGGTGCTGGGGGAGGGCCTGGGGACAGTCCATTCCCATGGGCTTTTCCCCCAGGAAAGGGCTGTGGGGCCAGTGGCAAGAGGGGGTTGCTGTTCCCTGCCCCGTGCTGCTGTTTCTCTCCCCCACCGTGGCAACAAGAAGGGCATAACCAATAACTGCCTATCATCCTCTGCACAATCAATAACAGCAAACAGTGGGGCTGAGCCCCTCTCAGCCCTCTCCCAAAATCAGCCCCAGCTCAGCCCCCTCCAGGGCTCTGGGCAAAGGAAGACCTGCTGGCCCAGCCTGCTCCCTCCTCCCCTGGGGCTGAGGGGACCCAAAAGCCACACAAGGCAAGACAACCCCCCCGAATCTCAACTGTCCCCCAGCAGAGTCCCCCCAGAGCCCCCACTACTCTTAGAAAAGTTGGGTTTCTGGAAATCCAGGAGCCCCAGAGACACCCCTAACCCACCTCACTCTGCTCCCCATGACACCAACCCTTCTCCCCTCTGCAGCTCCTCCTGATCCTTCCTCTGCCAGCTCCAATCACCTGGGCTATTCCCAGTGCCTGAGCTATTCCCAGCACCTGGGCATTCCTGAGAGGTGCCAAGGCCACCCGGTGAGGGAGGGAACCAGCAGAGGAGGGAGTTTGCAGTCCAGTGTTAAGGTCAGGCCTTTCCAAACACTCTGCCTTGCCCTCTAGTGGGACGAATGCGAAGGGCCGGGACGTGCTGTTGGGAAAAGTTGGCCAACCCCATCCCGCTGGAACCGAGCTGGGCTGGCGGCAATCCCGGCAATCCCGCATCCCACGGGAGCAGGTGACGTCACCGAGGGAAAGGATGGAGTGAAGGTGTGGGAAGGATGGATGGGGAAGGAGCAGAGCTGTGGGGATGGACAGACAGGGGGTCCGTGGGTGCAGCTGTTCCAAAGATGACACGACAGCAGCGGTAATAAATCCTGACATTTCAGATCCAGCCTGAAAGGAAAAGCTGGATTAGCTTCAAATTCCCATTTACCAAGGGCCTTGGCTTTTGGATCAGCATAATCCACGTCCAAGTTGGGTTTTGCATGGGAGAGAAAGGCAAGGGGAGAGGGGGGTGCCCACACACGCTCCCTGTGCTGTGCCAGTGCCGCAGCCTCACCCGGTGCCCCTGGGTGAGGAGCTGGATCCTCCTCTGAGGTTTTCTCCAGGTGCCCCTGGGTGAGGAGCTGGATCCTCCTCTGAGGTTTTCTCCAGCCGCCTTCATTTGCCTCCCCGGGCCTGGAGGACGTGGGCTGAGCTCAGTGGTTTAGGTTCAGGAGTTTGGAATCTCCAGGGATGTGTCATCCCTCTCACGGTGCATGTTTGTTACATGTGTATAAAAATATAGAGGATGAATACATTAGATTTAAAATATCTCACCACTGGGCAGCTCTTTTTGGGTGTTGAAAGCTGGGTTGATATGAGATATTTTAACTCTCTTCGAGTGATTTTCCTGCTGGTCCTGGGGCTGTTTGACTCCAGGCTCTGGTGCTGCTCCCGGTTTCTCTGCAGTCCCAAACCCAGGGATGCTCTCCCTCCAGGCAGAGGCTCATGCTGGAGATCCCACTTAGTGCCAGGACAATTCCAAATCCCAGTGTCCCTGGGGCCACGGGACTGCCATGGGTCTGGGATGAGGTGATGGAGGATTCCAGATGCCCTTTGCTGGGTTTTCCCGTTGCATCCTCTTGGGGAGCACACAGGGACAGTCCAGCTGTGGCCACAGCTCACACCTGGATGGGCCAACACCCCTCTGGAATTGCACCTGATGGAGCTGGGGACAGGTCAAACCTGATGTGGCCAAAACATCTCCCTGGAGCAATACAGCTCCCGACCCCTATCCAGGAACCTCCAAAAGCTGACACAGAGGGGTCTTCCCAAGGCCCTGGGAGGGAATTGAAGAAATGGGACACAGGGAAGTCCCATCTTTGCAAACCAGCACCGTTCCCAAAGCAACTGCTGGGCTGGGGCTGGGCAAGGGCTTCCTGCTGCTCTCACTGTCGAGAACAAGACATTGAACGCATTTAAAAGTCCTCATTTCATTATTACTTTATTATCCCTGCTCTGCCCCGGGACTGAGCTCACCCTGGGGTGAAACACAGCAGCCTTATCCTCACCTTTTCCACGGGCAGCAGGGGCTGAGGGCTCTGGGGTGCTCTGGGAATGTTCCCCCGGGTTTCCCAGCACGGGGGCTCAGGAGAAGCGGCCCGTGGGCAGGCGGGGCAGGCAGAAGTAGGCGTCGGGGAAGAGGCTGAGGTTGATGGGGTTGCCGTCCAGGCGAATGTCCTCCAGCGCCCTGCGGACCTGGCTGTGGTCCTGGCTGTCACAGAACGTGTCCTCGTGCATCGTCCGGATGTTGTTGTTCTGGGAAAGGGACAGATCAATGGGATAAGGGGGAGGAGGAGGAGGAGGGAAAGGTGGGCTCTGCCAGACTCAGGTGCAGACAAACCCGGGCCCGGGCCCACCTCACCTGGAGGTGCAGGGAGCGCAGGCTCTCGGGAAGGGGCGCCGGGATAAAATCCAGCTGGTTATCGGACAGGTGGAGAAACTGCAGCTGCTTCAGGTCCTGTGGGAAGAAGGGAGAGATAAACCTCCCTGCTCCCAGCCCTGCTGGACCATCCCTTTACCCCTCGGCACGGCAGGTTTGGGCTCAGACCCGCCGGGATTCCCCCCCACGCACCCGGAACGCCTCGGGCCGGAGGCCGGCGCTGGGGATCCTGTTGAGCCGGGCGTCGAGGTGGACGATGCTGCGGGGCAGCTCGGGCAGGGCCGTCAGCCTGTTCTCGGGCAGGAGGAGCTCCTGCAGGCTGGGCAGCCGGCGGAAGGCGTCCACGTCCGCCCAGGAGATGGAATTGCTGCTCAGGTCGATCCGCCTCAGCTTCTCTGGGGGGCAGCGGAGGGAGGAGATGAAGAGGGACAGAGGCGGAAGCTTTTATTCCCCATGCCCCACTCAGGGTCTGGTCCCTCCCCAGCCCCTCCCCGGCCCCGGCGTACCCAGCCCCGTGAAGTCCCCGGCGCGCACGGCCCCGATGCGGTTGAAGCGGGCGTACAGGTACGTGGTGTCCGGGGGCAGGGCCGGGATGTGCTCCAGGTCGGCGTCGTCGCAGTACACGGAGGTGCCGATGCACAGGCAGAGCAGGCAGCTGGGCAGCCCTGGGGGGGCACGGGCACCCTTGGCACGGCCCCCCCGAAGCATGCAGGGAGGTGGGGGGGACGCGCCCACCCTGCCCATGCTGAGGGGGCACCGAGTTTTCATCACCCAGAGCTGTCATGGCCCCAGAACCTTCCCTGGGGGACCAGCCCAGGGCACCTCACCCAGGGAAGGACCAGACACTCCCAGCCAAAGGAGCTGCTGATAAACGAGCTGGTCAGGGCCAAATCCCTCTCCTGGGAGAAGGGAGGATGTAAAGCTGCCAAGCGCAGCAGCCTCACACCCAGGGCTCTCCCAGCCCCCTGAGTTTGGCCACTGAATGAAACAAAACAAGAGAAAAGAGTTTTGCATCGAGCAAAACATCTGTCTCAGCTGCCTGAGGGTCCCAGCACACTGGGCAGGGGGGGCAGGGGGGTAAAGCCATGTCCCCCCCACACGTACTCCCTCTCCTCTCCCCCAGCTCCTGTCCAAGTCTCCCACAAGACTCTGCATCCATTAGTGGGGGAGTTCAAAGCAGCAAGGCAACAATTTCCCTTTGCCTCCCACTTAATTTGTCCCAGTCCTGAGTGACAGAAAATGAATAAAGATATTTATCCCTCGCTACAGGATTTTAATTGTCACTAATCTAATTGCTACTCTGTCCGACTGTCGCAATGCCTCTGCTCATTAAAATGTTGCTGCTTTGCTGGAGCTCTTGTTTCCCAGAAATCTCTCTGCAGCCCTCCTGCCTGCTGTGTGAGAAGACTCACCCCCAACACCCTGTCTCCTCGCTGGCCTGGCAGAGCAAATAGCTGCTGCTGCCTGCTGGTGGCACGAGAACTCGCTCCTTATTCTCCAGAGCCCCAGCCCTGCCAATCCTGGGGCACGTGGATGGATCCCACAGGAACCGAGCCCAGAGCCCCACACTCACCCTGCACGGGGATGGGCCCTGGGTGGATGGGACCAGCAGTGCTTGGAGGCTGCAGTTTTGGGGTTTCAGCCGTGGCACCCAGGTCTGGGAGAGTTTCGGGGTCCTTGGGGCGAGGAGCCAAGGTGCCAACCTCGATCTGCAAGCACAGCCCGGGGTGAGGGGGAGAGGCTGAGCAGATCCTGCCCTTCCCCTCTCCAGGGTGGGCAGCGCTGCTCAAGGGCACTGGATGGGTTTTACTGAAAACACAGCTCCTCCTTGACGAGCTCTCCCAGCTCTCCAACACCCCCTCCTCCTTCCAGAGGGATGCAGGAAGCCTCGAGTCCAGGTTCCTGCAGTGATGCTCCCACCAGGCAGAGGCTGGGGTCGGGTAAAGCCTTTCCTGCCACCAGCAAGAGCGGTGGGAGAGCTGCCAGGGTTTGCAGGCTTGTGCAAGAGGCTGGTTCTGCAGCTGTGCCCCATCCAACCCTTGGACCAAACCCCTTCCTTGGGATTCACCCTGGGAACAGCTGCACCCCCTCACCTTGGGAGCCAGGTCCCCGTAGTCATAGAGCTCCTCGTAGTTGCTCAGGTCGAGGATCTCCCCGTAGCTGTCCAGAGTCAGGTCATAGTTGTCCAGGTCCAGGTTTTCATAGAGGGCCAGGTCAGCTTTTGGCTTCTCGGCCTTCCTCCTCTCCTTGGCTGGCACAGCCCAGGCTGCCCCCAGGCACAGGCTGGCCATGCCCAGCCAGGCCAGGCTCCACATCCTGCCCCCGGCCAGGGTCACTGCTCCTGGGGACTGTGATCCTGGGGGATGCAGAGCTGGGAAGTGGCTGGAGCCAGCCCTGCTCTGCAGCCGTGAGGGACAAACAGCCCCCGGCCCCGGGGCCGCTCCACGTCCCTTTTCTGTTCAGCCCATTTCACGCTCGGCTGGGTGGCTGTGGCTGTGCAGGGGAGGCCCCGTGGCCCTGCAGGGCTGCCCGTGCTTCCCGTGCTTCCCAGCTTTCCCAGCCCCACAGAGCCTGGGAGGGGGTCGGGGTCCTGCTCCGGCCCCGAGGTGATGGGTGAAGCTGGTCACTGGCCCAACAAACCCAGCAGCTGAGCAAAAATGGCCCCAGGATCCCAGGAACTGCTGCTCCCAGCCCCAGGACTAAATCCCAGGATGCTGCTCCTGAACCTCCAGCATCCGGGGGGACCAGAGGCCACAGGGTCCCTGTGACTCGACCCTGAGCCCAGGGGCTGCCTGCACAGGACCCACACAGCTCCACATCCAAACCCGCCGGAGTCCATTCCCAAAGGATCTCCCTCCCACCGGGCTGCACGTCCACAGGGGCTCCCCCGGCAGGGCAGGAGGAGGGTCCCGGCACCCACCAGCCTCCCACGTGTCTCTCCAAAACCAAAAGCAAAAGCAACGACCCAGCCTGGAGCTTTTGCACCCCAAGCTGAGGGTGCTGCTCCCCAGTTCCTGCCGTCTTCCCCCGAATCAAACCCTTCCCAGTGCACTGAGCCCCCCAGCCCCCAACCCTGCCGGCCCCCCAGCACTCACCCCAGCCCAGGGGGGCTCTGCTTGGCGCTGCGAGGAAGCCAAAGGAAGGCGGCATGGACGTACCCCCGTCCCCTCCTCCTCGGCGTGGGAGAGCCCCGCTCGGCTCCACGGGCTGGTGCGCTGGCTGGGGAAGGGCTGCCGGGCTTTTAATGCATGGAGAGGAGGAGGGGGGCTGCACGGAGGGGTCTGGCATGGCCGCCGCCGAGGGGAGAGGCAGGATGCGGCCAATCAAGCCAGAACCCCCCTGCTGGGAACTTATATTGTCCCCAGGGGCGAGCCAGCCCGAATGGTGGCTGTCCTCCAACAGCCCAGCCGGGTGTCTGGGGCTGTGGGGGAACGGGATGGGGTGGGAGGGATGGGGAATGTGCTCCCTGCCCCGGCGTCCCCGTGAGCAATGGGACACGCAGCCCTGGGCAGAGGGGACAGGGCCAGCGCCATCCCTGCCTCGACAGGCCCAGGCCCTGCCAGCAGAGAGCGATTTCCAGCCGTGTCCATCCCCAGGGATGCAGGAAGGGCCAAGCACCGGGCACGACCCCCCTTGCTGATCCGGGTTTCAGCTGGGGGGGGCCCAGTGAGCATCCCAGCCCTGGGGAAGGTGTGGCACAGCCCCATCCCAGCAGCTGGGGACACTCAGCTCATCCACCCCGACTCACCTCCCGAGGGGCTCAGCACCCCCCACCCTTTGCGCTCCGGTGGTTTGGGGGCAGTTTGGGGAAAGGGATGCGGGGGGGGTGTGTCAGTGCTGCTC